TAATTAATTTTTTTAAAAATTCAGAATAGTGCTAAAATATTGTTTGAAAAGTCCAGAGGCTGCCTTTGGGGTTTCTATTTGAGTGAAGACTATAATATACCTGCGAAGTCGCCATCCCTAAGCAAAGAACCGGTCACCACTGCAGATGTCAGGTGGCTTCATGCCGCGGCCAGGGCAGAGGCCTGGCTTGTTGGCGGGGGCTGCCGGGCCCGGAGAGCCGCCAGGCACTCGGGAGAGAGGCTGTCTGGCCAGAACCAGCGCCACTCCGCACCCCTGTGCCAGACACACAAGGCTCTGGCTGGGGGACGGGGAGGGAAGGGAGGCCGGGTCGGGTTGGCCGGCACACCTGGGACGCCCTTTGCATCCTGCCTTCCACATCCTGCTGAGGGTGAGACCTGAGCGTGCACCACGATGCCACAGACAGGCCATGTGGTCCCTACCCTCGCTGACGGAGGACGGAGAGTGTCGGGAAGGATGTGGAGTACCGAGCGGCTCACCTGCGCGGCTCACCTGTGCAGCTCACCTGCGCTGGGAGCTTCCCACCCGCACCCTGTCCGGGGCCACTTTGTAAGCAACAAGCGCCCACAAGTGTCACCTGGCTGCACTGCGAACACCGACAACTACCATGTTTCCCCGAAAATAAGACAGGGTCTTATATTTATTTTTCCTCAAGAAGACACCCTAGGGCTTATTTTCAGGGGATGTGTGATTTTCCCCTCAAAGCCTCAGCTTGCAGCACGCACAGGATGGCCGGGACCCGACAGGGGGAGCCGGCCTTGTTGGCGGGGCTGCCCGCACCTTTCCAGTCACCTCTGGGTCAGTGGCTGTCACGACGGGGTGGACGAGAAGGGCTGCTCCTATTCTTTCCTGCTCCGTGACGACATGCATGGGTTGTGTAGACGTGCTGCGTAGCCACGCCCGTCACTAGGGCTTATTTTCGGGTAGGGCTTCTGTTGCACACATGCTTAGACATCCTGCTGGGCTTATTTTATGGGCAGGTCTTATTTTCGGGGAAACACGGTAGAACAAGCGACTCCCCCGTGAGCACATGTGAAATGAAGCAAAGGCCCAGAGGAAAGGGAAAGAGCCTGTTTATTCAACTAAAATTGCACCTGACGCTAAGCAAGGCCAAAAATTGCCCTTGAGAATGACAGACACAATCGTCTGATCAGCACACATTATAAGAAGTCATAAAACCCAGGCAGCAAAAACAACTCACTTTGACTTCCCCGCAAACACCAGTCCCACCTGTGCCGGTTCGCTGCCCCCCCCCACGGCCTCCCCAGGGCAACCATCTGCCTCTGCCTTCCTCTTTTCCCCCGTCTTCCCTCTGGCCACGTCTCGCTGGCCTTCCAGGGGTGCAGCCGGCACCCCAGGGAGAGAAAGGGGAGGCTTTGCTGGCCTCGCCCTTCCCCCGGGCAGACGGAGCCGAGGTCGGGTGCAAACCCGGCGCCGTGCTCTGCAGGTCGGAGGCCCGACCGTCCCCCCACACGCCGGAGCCCCCACCTGCCACTGATGCTCCAAGCCCGGAAATACGCAAAGCCACGTGGCCGACACCCGGCAGTATCACTCTGCACAGGGAGCCAAATGGCATTACAGGAGAAGACAAAACATCTCAGTCTCATTAATCCACACGTGTTTGGGTGGCGGGAACACTCCAGCTCCCCGCCTCCACCTCCCAGGGGACCACGAGGGCCCAGAGCAGAGCTTGTGGGCCCACACCTGTGGAGCGTGCACCGTCCCGGCTGCCCGGGGGGCAGGTGTGTGCAGACGGACAGCAGCTCGGGCCTGAAGGACGAGGACAGAGCCACGGGAAGCCCGGGGAGGACAGCCCAGGAGGGGAGCCGGCCAGCAGGGCCCCGAGGGACCACAGTGCAACCGCAAGTGACCCTGCAGCCTCACGGGGCACAGGAGGCCGAGACAGGGCAGGTGGCCGCTGCGAAACACCAGCTAGGATGGGACCAGGTGCCAGGGCAGAGTGACGGGGGAAGGTGCCGTTTGATGCCTTGTTCAGGGTTTCTGCCACACGAGCTTTAGGCTTCTCTCTGGAAGATACGGCTGTCCTACGAGGAAACTCACAGAACAGAATACAGATCTCCAAAAGCCAAAACGATGGCTCCCATCTCGATATGTAACCCCGCAGGCCGGGCCTTCGTCTCTTGTCCGAAGGGCAAAGCGCTGGCCTCCGGGGATCCAGCGACCTTTTGCGGTCGACTGGGGTGAGCTAGAGAACCCGCTAACACCCCTCATGCGACAGGGACACACATTTGGCCGCGAATAACCGCCCCCCAACAGTGAATTACGTGTGACAAGATTATCAGCTTTACATGGAAAACAAAGGACCCTTGTTGGACAAAACATAGAAAAGCAACCTCAAATGCAAACTGTGCCTTTTAAGAAGGAAACAAAATCAGCCCATGTGGGACTAGAGGAATCTGCCTGCCCAGTTGTTGCTATTATTTTAGAAATAGGTTTCTCCCGTTTCCCGGAAGAGAAATCTATTTCTTCCTGTTACCAAGAGTAGTCTCTATCCCGGAGTTATTTGAAGACCTACTTGTTTTTTTTTTCCTAATAAGGATAATCCTCTCCAAATAATCAAACTGATTAGGGATTCATGAACAGCACGCTCCCAAACATCTCCGATCACGGAACAAGCCGAGCTTTGTGCAGTCCGCATGACACCGCTCTGATGCCTGAGAAATCTGGGCTTTATCTGGGCTGTGGGTGAGGTGTTCGCGCCTTTGGCTCGCCTGCCTAGTCATGCCCCCCTCGAGCTGGCAGACGGGAGCCTGGCTCTGCAGCCCCGACGGGCTGCTCGGCACTCTGAGAGGATGACGGCATCATTCCTCGTTTTTCCACATCAGGGACCGTTTGTTCCCTCCAGATAAACGACCAATTCGGTCTTTAATCGAGAACCCTGGTCGAGGGCTCTGTGCCTTGATTTCACCAGGAGAACACCTTCCCACCGAGTGCAAACACAAGAGGTGACAGACGTCACCTTTTGTCATCGTCTCTTTTACCAACGAAAGGTAAAGCTTGATGCACGCTCAACATCACATTCCTGTCACCTGTGCAAAGACAGCGAGATCCGTGCAGCTTGTTGGAATGGTAACGCCGCTTGGTATAACCAAAAAAAAAGAAAAAAAAAGTTAAGCATCTTGGACCCTTTAAGAAGCGTGTTGGTGGCAAAGGACAGATTGTTTGACATTTAGATGGCAGGATGAAGACCAGTGGAAACCAGCAAGCATCTCTCTACTGCGGGTTTTCCCTGCAACGTGCTAAGCTGTTATGGCTCTGCAGGAAACATGTTGCCCACCGGCGTTGAAATCTGACCTCAGGGGCAGGAGCAGACACAGGTGATGGGGCGGAGGGTTTCCTGCCTGCAGGAGCCTCACGGAGCTCGAGACTCAGCTACGAATCGAGCACCTGGAGGACAGGACAGACCCTCCCTTGGGATCCGCAGAGTGTGAGTGTCTGCACCATTAGGGTCTCTCCCTCCCCACACCCCGGGCGCAGAGAGAAGCCTGGCTCTTGAGCAAAAGCAAGTTGATCACGCACACAAAGAAACACTGCAGAGACAAGGGCAACGTATGTAATACGTTGTGCACATGTGTATCCCCATAATATGCTGAAATAAAAAAAAAGAAGAAATTGCAATAAATCTATAGCTTGATTTCAAAACGGAAAAGAAAAAAAGGAAACACAGCAATGAAAATAACGCCTCAGAGAGATTCCTCAAACCTGCCCTGATGGAAGACATGGGTGGCCTCCCGCTGGGAAGGGGACAAGCACGTCCGGGACAAGCAGAGGGACCGGAGGGGCCACCTGGCCTCGGTGCTGGTGGAGAAGTCGTGTTTTGCTTTCCCAGAACCCTGTTCCGCCATCGCCACCTGCTCCGAGTCAGGTGTTTCCCTTCCAGATGTTGTTGGACAGACACAGGAAAGTGGGGATGAAGAATTTGCATGCTGGACAGTCTGGTCGTCCTGCCTTTGCTTATAAGCAGGATACCACCTGTACCTTTCGAAATTTCAAACCACCTTTATCAGCGATAGTACGAATGGCGCAGGGACCGCAAGTTCTCTGCCAGGGAACTAGTCCAGACTCTGGGTGAGACCGAGGCCACAAACACCACGCTCAGCGAAAACGTTACGGGGTGACGCTCGTGGTCTCCGAGACATTGGCTAGACATTCACAGCCTGGAGATGTCTCGTGAACAAAGCGGATCAAGGTGAAATAAAACAGCCAGTGCCTCTGAAGCGTCTGGCCAATGGTGGCAAAGTCTCCCCATGATGTCAGAGCTCTGACCCAACCCACCCGGAAGTCCCAGGGGGCTCTGAGCTGGGATAGCGCATGCTGCGTCCGGCAGGGCTCTGCACCCGGCAGCCGTTTCCCATCTACGTGAATTCCTACAAGGATGGCTGATCCGCGACAGTCTCTAGGTTCAACTGCTAAGGAACCATTTTTGGAGTATTGCTTTTGGATGAAAGAGAACACCTGTGGACCATCTTTTTGTGAATGCTTTTTGTGATCATTACAAATGTAAACTCGCTGCCTCTGTTTAGTTTCAAACAGAGTTCTTCACAGTTGAACTCACTAGATACATATAGATTGAGCTCATGTCTTGTTAAAAATGTCAGAGAACGACATTTGAATGATCGCTTTCTTTTAGGTAGAACAAGTAAACGGTCCTTTTGGCTGTGCGTTTCAGAAACATGAGGCTCTGCTGTGGTCACTGATTTTAGCGTGGCAGTTTTTCTTCTCTGCCACGTTTGATCTCCCACTTGGTGGCTTCGGGACTCTGCCAGCCACAAGGGACAGCAACCTGGGGATCTCCCCGAGGGCTTTACCCTCGGGACCCTCTTGGTCTGCGCTGAGCTCAAGGCCCCAGCCACGCCCTCTGCTAAGTGGAGCTGGGCGCGCTCCTTTTCGCTCTGGATCTGCGGGAGGTCTCACGGTGGGGCAGCTGGCGTCCACCCCAGCCCGCCGGCCGGTCCACTCACCCTGCAGCTGCCGGCCCTTGTACAGGTCCCTGGCTCGGGCCGGGTGCGCCCTGGCCGTGTTGTCGCATTTCGGCTGCTCGTACCTGAGGGGGGAGGAGGGAGAAAACACCTGGTTGGAGACCTTGGTACAGGTGTTGTCTCTCATGTGTCTGCGCCTGACCCTGACCCAGCACGGGGCACGGCAGGTGGCTCTGGTGTGACAACGCCCGTGACTTGATTCACTGGAGCTTGGGCTGGTGGGCCATTTCTCACCGCCGCAGGGAGAGTGTGCCGAGACTCCTGCCCTGTGGGCAGGTCCCGCTGTGGCTGCCTCACTTGGGTCTGAGGTGCCGCTTCCCACGCCAGCCCTGCAGGTGCCTGCTCCCACCTGCCAAGGCCACCTGCCTGCTTGGACATCAGCCCCCCACAGACGGGCTTCTCTGCAGTTTTCTGTGTGCAGGTGAACCTCACACCCTCCATGGCTGCAGGCACCAGCACCCCCCACCTGCCGTTCACGATTTTAGGGAAAGTGCGGGCAGAACCAGGGAGGGAGGGGACGTGAGAGCGAGGAATGTGGGTGTGAAGGAGGCAGTGGGCCGGCCACTCGCCCCAGGAAGGACACGGCGTCGTGGCAAGAACCTCAGAGTGTGAGGCTCTAGGACTCCCGCGTTTTTGGCACGATTCACGAAGCTGCGAAAAAGTTTATCTCAGGGTTAAAAGAAAAATCTACTTGTGGTCCCAGCATCGATAGAAAATTGCAGAGAAGCTCGTCTGTGGGGGGCTGACGTCCAAGCAGGCAGGTGACTTTGGCAGGCGGGAGCAGGCACCTGCGGGGCTATGGGGCTGGCGTGGGAAGCGGCACCTCAGACCCAAGTCAGGAGCAGCGAGTTGCACGCTCATCCCACCCTCTTGACAGGTGCCGCCGTGCTCTGGATACTGCAGGTGCCGGGAGGACCCGCCCCGTCTAGGGAGGACACAGACGACCAAAACAGAGCGTGTGGCGGCTGTGGGAACCGGCCTCCCAGAGCCTAGACTTCAGCCGGGATGGACATCAACAGGGACCCGGCGTCTGCAAGCTGGGGTCTTTCTCTGAAAGCCGAGCTTCTCGGGGGCGAGTCCCAGGCTAGGACTGGGCAGGTCCATTCCTGGGAGATGGGGAGTCCTCCGACGGCCCCCCCAGCCCCTCTCCGTGGACTCTCGCTCCCTGGACGCGGCCCCCTGCCGTCCTCCCGCCCCTCCGCTGGCTCTGCAGCCCCCACACCGCGCCGTCCCTCAGCTCTCCTGCCTGCCCTCCCGCCGGCCTTTCTGCCCCAGGCGCGCCAACCCTCCATCTGCAGGAGCGTGTGTCCCAGGGCTCTCCCCGGCCCAGGGCCCACCCCCGAGGCAGGTGGTGTCCTGGGGGAAGTGCAGGGCCCGGCCAGCGCCATCAGTCCCGGAGCACGGGTGCCGTCCAGGGCCCCGGGAGAGACTTTGTGCAAAGTGCAAATGACACGCGTGTCCGTCGGTTCGTTCCAGTTTATTGGAGAAGACACGTGGTGCTAAGTTTTCCATTCTCGAGATACTTCATTTAGGATAATGGTCTCTGATTCCTTCCAAATAGCAATGAATGCAAAAGGCACTGACTTATCCTTTTCGTGGCTGAGTAGTGCTCCATTTTGTTAATCTATTAATGAATTGGTGGGCACTTGGGTTCCACATCCCTGTAAGTGTGAATTGTGCTGCTGTGAACATTCGACCGCAGGTGTCTTTTTGATAAAATGACTTCTCTTCCTTTGGGTAGATGCCCAGTGGTGGGATTGCTGAATGAAATAGTTAGGTCTACTTTTAGTTCTTTGAGAAATTTCCACACTGTTTTCCATAGGGGTTGTACTAATTTGCAGTCCAACCAGCAGTGTATAAATTTTCCCTTTTTTTTTTTGCATCCACGCCAGCATCTGTTGTCTTTAGACTTTTTAATAAAAGTCATTCTAATAGGAGTAAGGTGATAGATATCTCATTATGATTTTAATTTGCATTTTCCTAATGATTAGTAACATTGAACTTTTTAAAATTTGTTTATTGGCCATTTGTCTATTTTCTTTTGAAAAAATTTCTGTTTGTATCTTTTGTCCACTTTTTAGTGGGGGTGGTAAGATCACGGCATCTCTTATCCCCATTCTGAATCTTCTAACTTTGAAGCAAGACGGAAGCTGGGCACACGGATGGCCACTCCGGTTTCGTTCCATGTTTGGAGATGTCCTAAGATATAAACAAGTATATTTAGGTGACAGCCTTCTGCTCCCTTCAAAGGGCAGCGTGAAATGCCTGCACCTTGCAGAAATGGCCATCTCCGGAAACAGCACCAATGCCTTTGACATCTCAAATTTAAAAATAATTAAATTCAGCTTTGACATCCATCACCCTGCTTTTCAATAGTGTTTATTTTAACTTATTTGTGTTAGAAGAAGAAAAAATGAAAAACAACGAACATCCCTTGTTGGTATTACCCGTACACAGCAGGGAGGAACGCCATCCCACGCCCATGTGGCCACCTGCACATGCCAAGGGGAGACACTCTGGAGTTGGGGACAGAGGCTGCCCTGACACGAGGTAGGCACAGGTGGCAGGCGGGCAGCGAGGGGGAAACCTCTCTCTTCTGGACACTAATGCGGTTGCCGGCAACCAGCCTGGTCCCCACTGGATCTGATTCCGGCCACTCAGGCCGCTCCGGCCATCTCCCCAGGTGAGTCGGCGGCCCGGCTGAAACGCGCCCATTTGCCCCGGCTGCACGCTTGCCATAGGTGCCCGGACTCCGTCCTGCGGGGCGTCCGCACCCCGTGGCCAAGTCGTGGATCCCAGCAACAGAAGGCAGGAGAATTAGGAGGCCCTGAAGCCCCGCCCCTGCCACGTGTGTCCAGAAGACCCCTCCCACCAGAGACCCCGCACCTGGGTGGGGGAGGGGCTCTCCCTGGCGCAGGCGGGCGGCACGGGGGGTGTCTGCCCCCGGAGCACCGCGCCTCCACTCTCCTGCCTGGCGACACGGGGGCTGGCAAAGGAAGGTGCATCTTGCTTTCGTAGATTCTTCCTGCTGTTGAATTTTAAAGTTTTTCTTCCCCGGTGGGAAATACCGAGCATGACTGAGGAAAGGGCTTTGCCTTCCTACCCATGTGTGAATCAATGCTGTACAGTATGTCCCTGGAACTGCCCGTTTCAGAAAGTTACACAAAGGCCACCCGGGGCGTCTACAAAGGGACAGGGAAGACCTTCCTCCCCTGTGCTGCTCCACCACGGCAGAAACTGTGTGTGAGAAGCAGGGCTGGGGCAGCACCTTGCAACCCACCACGTACGGCAGCTGCTAACGATCCCACTGGCCCCCAGCCTCCCTGTCCACCCAGAGGAGTTTCGGCCACTTCCCTTTCTCCTGCCAGCGACAGGGTTAGCCCCGGGCGCGTGGCCCAATTCTGGCCAATGATCCTGGAATCCAATCTGCCAGGGGACTTCCAGGGAAGGTGTTTTGGGCTCCTCAGAAAGAAAGAGATGGGTTCCAGTGTCCTCGGAGCACTGTGTCGTCCGGGGAGTGAGATGTCCGGACCTGTTGCAGCCGTCTTGTGACCAAGAGGGCAGCCTGCCCGAGGGCCAGGCCCACAGAACGAGGATGTCAGGGCAGATGGGAGATGCCGGGTCCTGGGCAGCTTCCCCAGGTGACAGCACCGCCCAAAACTGAGCTCGCCCCCCCACGCCGGCGCCTCTCAGAGAGGTACCTGTCTGGCTACGGACACCCATCTGTGAGGCTTCTCGTCTCGGCACTGGATCTCAAAAGCGTCCTAGTCGACAGGCCGCACCTCCTGCTCCGACCACCTGGGTTCTGGCGCCCGGACCTCCACCGCGCAGGTGGCATCTGCCTGCTCTGGCTGGGCCATCCTGCAGACGTCCCCCTCACTCCCCGGCTTCCAGCATCAGCACTGCAGGGTCCCCCGGCGTCTGTCCATGGTGCGTCCCTGTCCCACGGTCCCGCTCCCGACCCGTGTTCGCTTCCCTCCAGGGCCTGCCTCACCCACAACACACTTGGCTCAGCTGCGGGTGTTTTACTTGCTACCTGTTTCCTCCTGTCAGAACCTGAGCCCCACGGCATTCTGTCCACTTGGGCCGTAGGTATGTCCCCAGCCGCTAGCACGGTGCCTGGAACACTGGGGACACTCCGGTGTTGATTGAACAACAGGGAACGAATAGACAGGAGTGGATCTGCAGAACTGCCGAGCGCCTGCATTGCTTCTTCTTTGCCAAACCAGTCCCAGCAACGACCCAGGAGAGACCACGTCCCCAGTCCCGACATCCCAGCTCTGCCGTCTGTCTCTGCCTCTCCTCTGCTGTGTCCCTGGGCCCCACCCGCCCTCCGTTCAGGCGCACCAGACTCCCCCAGGACTCCACGTGCCTGCACTCCCTCCGCTCCGACCCCCTGCCTGGCTGTGACCAGCTCCAACATCTGGGCCTCAGGGGGTCCTGGCCCTGAAGCCGCCCCTCCATGCGCCCGCTGTAGCCTCCACATACTTTGCCTCTCACCTGTTTGACTGTTTGCACAAGCAAGGAGTCCCTGCAGCTGGCTGTCCCCTTCTGCTTTTCTAACAAAATCAAGACTCTCATGGACACAGAACCTGCTCCTCGCGGCCCTGGACCCCACGCCAGCCCTGGGTCTGGAGAGAGGAGACCATGGGCCCTTCTGGTGCCTCACGGCCACGGTGGTGACATTCCAGCCAGTTAGAGGGAGGATGAGGCCACTGCATGCGGGTGGGGAAGGTCTTTCTTGCTATCAAAAGAGAAGCAGCCTTTTTCTTCCAAAATATGTTGTTGCAGCTACTGTGTTTTTCCAAAAACAAGACGGGGTCTTATATTTATTTTTCCCCAAGAAGACACACTAGGGCTTATTTTCAGGGGATGTGTTATTTTTTTTAAGTATAGTACAACCATCTACATTTATTCAAATATAGTGAAGTCGTCTTCCTCTGGAACATCATCCTCACTCTCCAAACCCTGAATCCCATCCTGAATGTCTTGCAACTCTATTTCCTTTAGAACCATCAGCCCTGATCTCTCATGTGGAGCACTAGAGCTCTCACGGGGCAGATGAGAAGGGCTGCTCGTCTTCTTTCCTGCATCTTCTTTCCCGCTCCGCGACGACATGCATGAGTTGTGCAGACGCGCTGTGTAGCCACACCCGTCACTAGGGCTTATTTTTGGGCTGCTGCTTCTATTGCACAAATGCTTAGAAATCCTGCTAGGGCTTATTTTATGGGTAGGTTTTATTTTCAGGGAAACACGGTACATAAGATACTTCTAGAAGCTGCAGCATGGACAAGCCACAAGTCATGCCAGGAAGCTGGGCACGGCGGAGCAGGAAGGAGAAGACAGCTCACTGCAATCCAGTCTTTGAGCCGATGAAATCGTCCGGAAAGTCCTGTCCCCACACCCCGTGCAGTGTGTGGGCTCCCATGCCCGAGACGAGGCACGTTTGAGGACTCTGTCAGCTGCAGGGAAAGCCGTCCAGCTGTGGAAAATCGTTCCTGATCTCAGGCCCCCACACAGAAAATAAAACCCCGAGGGAGCCTAGACCTCGTCTGTCCTGGCGCTTGAATGTCTCTGACAATCAGCCTTTGTGCTCGACGTGAATGAACAATGACAGGGATAAAAACGCAGCCGGAGTCTAAGGAGGCTTCTCCCCGGGGTTTAATTTAATGCTGTTTCCTGAAATTGCAAGAAGAGAGAGTTGCTCTCTCCTGTAGGCAAAATTAGGGAACACGAGAACTTGACGCTTTTCTTTCTGCCGTGAAGCCGGATAAAGTTCAGGAAGGATGAGACGGGGATAGATGATGGATCGGAAGAGAGGGGTTGTTGCGTTTCTAGTGCATCGCTTTGTGAGCGTGTTTGCAGGCTCTTTAGGGATAAGACGGTAGGTGCTGACCTCGTCCTCTGAGGCCAGTTTGAGGAGTTCTGGGCCCGACGGCGCGAGGATTTTGGCTGGCTGGTGCAGGCGGGCGTCTGCCAGGATATTCCTCCCCTGCCGGGAGACGCAGCGGGGGCAGGGCTGGGCGGCAGCGGGTACAACCGGCGCTGGGGAGCAAACGCCCCCTCAAATCCACAGCAGACAAGCCAGCCAACGCCTGAAATGTGCGGAAACACCACTTCCAAGGAAGGTTTCTTAGAAAACGGTATACGCCCTACAGACATATGCACAGAGACCGAATAAAACAGTTCTCAGACCAAAACCTTGAAAAGATGTATGTTGTCCCCCAGCTGTGCAGAGCACACTTGTGTGAAACGAGCCCCTGTGTCAGCCCCACGGAAGCGGGACCGCAGCCGCCGCCCCGGTGCCCTGCTGGGAACCTGCTCCCTGCAGCCTCCCGTGCGGGGTGGGGCTCGGAAGCCCTCCCAGGGCGGCTGGCGGGTCACCTCCCCCTGCGGGCCACCGCGGTTCCCAGACAGGGCTCCTGGGGTCACCCGCTCTGCTGCACCGGCCAGGCAGGGAGGGTGGGCTTGGGCTCGGCGGAGCAAGCGTTACATCCTCAAATCTGCCCTGATGTCCCCGCCTCTAAAGGCCAGTGGTTACTCTTGCAAAAGTCAGGGAAATAATTTAGGAAGTGCCACAGCCCACAAATGGGCACTAGGGGTGACCCTAACCCTAACCCTAACCCTAAAGGCCCTGTGGTTACTCTTGCAAAAGTCAGGGAAATAATTTAGGAAGTGCCACAGCCCACAAATGGGCACTAGGGGTGACCCTAACCCTAACCCTAACCCGAAAGGCCCCCTGGTTACTCTTGAAAAAATCAGGGAAATAATTTGGGAAGTGCCACAGGCCCACGCCTAGGCACTCGGGGTGAGGTCAGGGGCTACATCTGATAATATGTGAGAGATCGTATTTTCATATATCTGAACTGTTTTTATATAGATGCGGAAAAAGTCAAAGGCAAATTCGTACAACAAAGAGTTGCAAAAACGCCTCCACTCGTTGCACTACGTCCACGGACAGTCACTCATTCTCCAGGGGCTGTCGTGAAATGATTCGCTTTGCTCAAACGCACACCAAGCGTCTGTGAGCAAGCCGTGTCCGTATCCGGACCCTCGGAGACCAGGATGGCCCGTCCCTCTCTCTCCCGAGGCGCTGAGTTGCGGGCACTTGTGTCTGTGTGAAGCCGCCGAGAGGGGGAGGGAGGTGGGTTCAGGTCAACGTGAGCTCCTTTCCAAAGCCAGAGCCCAGTGGGCTTTGCGGACGCATGCCTGCTCCCTTCCCAGCCCCGGCCCGGCCGGACACCGAGCGTCTCAGAGCCCGTCCCTCCGGGCGAGGAGGCCAGCGCCGCCCACGGAGGCCAGCCCGCTCTCCCTTGTCGCTCAGCCAGTGTGTAGCCGCCATGAGAGAAATGGCGTCCTCCAGTTCCCACAGCCAAAGCCATCGGTGCTCCCGGGTGGTGCCAGCTCAGAAACCGAGCACGTGGCTGGCGCTAGGACAGCCGCCGCTGGGATGCGCAGTCCGCCCAGCCTGCCCCGGCCGGGAGGGGCTGCACCAGGGCTGACGGGGACTTGGGGGGCACGGGCCAGGGGAACGGGTCTGCATAACGGACGTTCGCGCCCCAGCCTCCCCGCCGGCCCTAGGACGCGCTTTACCTGGTGGACGTGCCGGGGATGGGGCGCCCCGTGTCCACGAGCACGCACCAGCAGTACCCCGTGGACGGGTGGCACTGCACCGGCTTGTAGAGCCCGCCGTGGGCACACTCCGGGATGACCACGTTGTCGTTCTTGGGCTGCTTGGCTTCCTCGAGGGCGGACTGGTGCTCCTGGTCGCAGGACGACACTGGGGTGAGGAGGAGACAAAAGCCAGGTGAGCAGAGCCCGGGGGGCGTGTCGTGCACGGAGCTTGTGGAAAGGTGTGACCAGGGGACTTCCAGGACTGGACAGGGAAGGGTGTGGCCACCCTGGGGTGCGGAGAGGCGGGAGCATGCGGGCTCCCCGTCCCCGTGGGTCCAAGGTGCTCCCGAAATCTCTGACCCACCCCCGTGTCCGTGGAGTTGATGGACACTCTTTCCTGAGCACACGGTGACTCTCGGTGGGCACAGCAGTCACCGCGGACAGGTGATCCTGGGGGGACTGGGAGCCCCAGGTCGGAACCGGACCCGAGACTGGGAAGCGTCTTCTCTGGGCTCCAGAGCCACATGCTAAGGAGGCAGGAGCCGAGCACCCCAGGGTGGGGGCTCGTTGAGTCTCGGGGGAGCCCCGGTGCCCCCTCTGCTCACATGTCAGCACCCACCGCCCACGCCCACCTGCGAGCGCCCACCTGGGGCCTCCGCAAGGTCTGATCTGGGCGGAATCTAGGCAGAGCAGGTTCTCAATGTATCAAGCAGCTCAGCCCAAAAAAGTGGAAATTTCCACTGCAGTGTCTCTGAAACAAGTTTGCCACCAGGAATTAGTAAAGAGCAGCAGTATTCTATTGATATTATTATTATGGGGTATTCTTACTCAGGTCTGTGAGCCAGGCTTTGAGCTCCACGAACACTGAAACTCATTCACGTGAAAATGAAACAATGACTTTTAAAAATCTCAGTATCGTGCATTGCAACGTATAAAGGTTTGCCTCATTTTATGTTAATAAAGTCGGTTTCTCCTTAGTGTTTAGACATGTCTACCTATATCCATCTTCTGCCCCAAATAGCTCAGGCAGGAATACTTAGCACGTGTGTGTGTGTGTATGTATGTGTGCGTGTGCGTGGGCGTGTGTGCGCGTTTGTGTGTGTGTTTGTGTGTGTGCATGTGTGTGTGTGCTGGCAGACACACGCGGACGTGCACACACACACGCCTGACCGGCTGCAGCGTCCAAGCGGAACGGCCGCGGGGACGGCCCCTCCGTGAGGCCGAGCGCACACGCGTGAGAGCAATGGCAGGGCCAGGCGCCCAGGGTGTCTCTCTGGAATCGGAAGTGACTTCCGACGAGTTGTGCTCTAAGGCTGCTTTGAAACTGACCCACGGCAGCCATGGGGCCTTAGGACGTAAAGGTGGCACCAAGCAGGTGGGACACCCGAGGGGCCCGAGTGTGCCTCTGCTTCAAGACCACCCGGCCGGAGCCAGTCGCCGCTGGCGTGGCATGGAGGAGCAGCAGTGCCCCGAGGAGGGGATTGTCCCAGGATCGACGAGCTCGTCCGTGACCTGGCGTAGCAGCCCTGCTCTGCACCTGCTGGCTGCCACCATCACCGTTTTTCCAATGCTGAGAGAATGCCTGGCCTAGAACAGGCTCTCGGTGAATTTCTTTTGAGACAATAAATCACAGTAATAATATCGACCGCTAGAAAGCCACCTGCATTTCAGTTTCTCCAGTCGTTGTATCTACAAGGCAAAGGATAATGACACGTGCGATTTTATGATGAGTTCATCACTGACTATATCACCAACGGCTGCTGTTAGAGTTTTAAACAGTATATAATTTTGTGTATTCCCTGGAGAAATACAAAAATAAGTGTTGCCGTTTATATTCTTCCCTATTTCCTATTCCCAGAGGACTCACAGCCATTCTCCGGCTCTGCCCCTCGGTGCGCTCAGACCGTTGCATTAGCGGCTGGTGACGGCTAACGCTGTCACTGCCTCTGTCCAGACTGACGCGTGCAGGATAACCTCGGACAGACGCCAAGCGCCACTCACATGCCACAGCGGGTGCTCCAAAGGGTTTAGTGAACAAGAGAGAAGAAGAAACTGCTCATCCACTGACATTTCACATCGGTTGTGCCTTATAAGCTCTGCACTTTCTTTCGTACACTCTAGATTTTGTTTAGTAAACACACAGCACATAAATAAAACCCGCCCCTGAGTTAATGCCCTTATCTTAAAGAGGATTTTGCCCCCAGCTGTAACTAGGAAACCAGTATGAAATTAACATGACAGTGAGTCATATTTCTTTCTTAACTGTTCAATAAAATTTACTTTGGATCAAGTGCATAGACTAAAAAGGTATGAAGCTAAATGCTGTTTGGTGGTTGTCGCTTTGTAGAAATCCTCCAAGATGTTGGGGCATCACTAAGGGAGCCCCCCGGGGAAGCGCCGGCCCCTGCGGGTGGCGGCTGCCAAACTCACCGCTCCCTGATAGGGTCACCGGGCGCCTGTTCAGAAAAGTCATTAGTGCGCAGAGTTTACCGTGTGAATTATCTGGCCACAAACCATCCTTCATGCTCTGTCCAGGGACACACAGTATCTATAGAGACAGCTGTGGAAAATTCTTGCAGTATCACCCTTGAGGGTTCTATGCCCTATTGGAAGGCTTATCATGAAATAATATCGAATAAACCAAAAACCTCTTAAAATTTGCTGAGCATGTCATAAAACATCAAAGCTCTTACAGCAGGGCCAGACGGCCCCCCGTGTCTGTTTGCATAAACGCTGGGCGGGCGGTGAGGGCCGCTAGCTCTCGCAAGCCCATCTGATAAGCCTGCGTCTGCATGAGGAATGCAAGCTCAGCTCGCTGGAGAAATGCAAATCCCGTTTCCTTCTAGCAAAGCGGTGACGATGAAGGTGAGGGTCCCGCGACAGGCCGCAGAGACACAGGGAGGGCGCCCGCTCTCGAATCGCCCCGCCCGTGAGTTGTGAGCTTTCACAACGATGTTTTTAAAGACGGCTCGCCTTTGTAAAGTTGGCAGAATGTCCATTAAAAAAAAAAAAATACTAGTTTATTTCCTGAACGAGAGTGTTAGATGCTTGTGACTTATAATGGGTCTGACAGTTTGTCCAAATAATGCAACCAAAGGGAATTTAGATTATAACAAACAGCTGCCAGGCTGCATTTATGAACTTAAGAAATATTCAGGGCTTCTCGTATTGACCACAGGCTACCTGTGCTTTCAGGAAGGTGATGCCCTGAGCATTTTGCAGGGAGCAATGACCGATCGCGTCCACGCTGAAGAGGGATATCTCTGGATCTGGCCACATTTCAAGAAATTCTGTGCTGCGTGTGTGTTTTTCTGGCCAGCCCATCCCCTCGAGAGCTTTGCATTCACATTTAGGGAGTTGCTCACCCTCCAGCAGGCAGGGGATCCCGAGCCGCTTCTGAACCAAGGAAGTAGCTGATGCTTCTCCCAGGGCGACTGTCCCCAAGCCAGTGCCATGGAGTTGGAAGTCCCAGACACCCGTGGCCTTGTCGGGGCCCGCTGCCACTTCTGCTGCTGCCAGGTGTTCTGCGAGCCGCGCAGTTACCCGCCCCCTTGCAAAGACGCCTCTCCCGGCCCCAGATTCTCCACCACAGGCCTGTCCTGCTGTTTGTTGCCAGGGAAGTCACCGGGCTGCTGCCCGGATGCTACTGGTGTGAGTTGCTAAGGGACTCTGCGCCCCGTCTCTCCACGTCCGTCTCCTCTCGGCACAATAGACCTCCCCAGACACACCTGTTTGCAGAAAACTGCATAAAACTGTCACTCAGGGCCGGGCGCCGTGGCTCATGCCTGTAATCCTAGCCCTGTAAGCGGGCGGATGGCTCAAGGTCAGGAGTTCAAAACCAGCCTGAGCAAGAGCGAGACCCCGTCTCTACTTAAAAACAGAAAGAAATTAATTGGACAACTAGAAATAGAAAAAATTAGCCGAGCATGGTGGCGCATGCCTGTAGTCCCAGCTACTTGGGAGGCTGAGGCAGGAGGATCACTTGAGCACAGGAGTCTGAGGTTGCTGTGAGCTAGGCTGACATCACGGCACTCTAGCCCCAGGCAACAGAGTGAGACTCTGTCTCAAAAAAACAAAAAAAACCTGTCACTCAGGAGCAGCCAGCACCTCGAGTTGTTCAGGAGCTGCTACCAGAGTAGACAGGGGGCCACACGCCACCCCAGTGGGTCTTAACTATTAAGTAAATGGACACTAAGTGTAATGTCCACTGTGTTTATATTGAGTCATATCTACCTTTTGTTGGGGGATTCTAATTTCTATCTAGCCCCATCTTCTTGTTCATTCCATGTTGGGCATGAAGAGGCAATTAAGAAATCTAATTTTCAAAGCAAGTAAGTTTTTATTTAAGTCTGAGGTCATCTTTCCAAAAATATGGCAGGTGCACAGTTGATACAGGGAAGAAGAAACAGCGTGAGGATGGAGCGATGTCTCAGCTCAGCCCCAGCCCGGCCAGACAGACTCCTGTGGTCTGAACGTCTATGCAGGTGGAGCCCTGGGAACGAGCTCTCCGTGCCCTGACAAAAGGGATCAGGGATTGCTCCGTCCACCCGGTGAGGACACTGTTTACCAACCCAAAGTGGACCCTCAGCAGACATCAGTCTGCCAGTTTCTTGATCGTGGACTTCCAGTCTCTAGAGCTGTGGCAGGTCCCATGATACAAGATGAATATGCAAAAATTGCCTCTATTTGCATATACTGCCAATGAATAATTGGAATATAAAAAAAAACTTAAATTTCATTTGCTCTAACACCAAAAACAAAAAGTATTTAGAAATAAATTTATGATAATAGGTGCAAGACATTAAAAACTTAAAGAGCCTTACTGAAAAAAATGAAAGAAAACCTCAATAAATGGAGAGATATACCATGCCAGTGAATGAGTAACATTATAGTGTTAATTCCCCTCCAAACTGGTTTGTGGATCCGACATAATTCCTATCAAAATTCTAGGAAGCTCCTTAGCAGACACTGACATTTTGGTTCTAATGCATAGGGGAATGCAAAACACCTAAGATGTCCAAAGCTTTCTTCTGAAAGAACAGACTTTTGAGGGCAAGAGTTACCTTACTTACAAAGTCATTATAAAGCCAGCTGTGTAGCCAGTATGTTGGCGGCTAAGGATAGCTGAATATACGAATAGAGAGGAATAAAAAGTTCTAAGTAGAC